TCAGATCAGAAGATGTATTAGGACATTCTATAGGCCCTCTTCGCCCTATCCATTTATCTGAAAACTCGTCGTCTAGCCATTGGCGAACCAGAAGAACATAGTGAGGAGGAGCGCCGTCGTGCTCGAAATATATTTCAGCCTCATCAAGTACAGGGTTTCCATCCTCTTCGATTTGATTTTCAATGGTTTCAGTGACAAGCGGATTGATGGTATTTTCCAACATATCCAAATAAATGTCTCCAATAAAATTTCGGCTTCGTTCAAAACTCTCCGACGATCACGTTTTTGATTTGTAATAGATCCAGTTTGAGTAAATTTATTAACAAGGTTCAAAACATACCTATACGAAGCTGGCGGATGTCTGGGATTAAACGTGATGGCAGTTTACCGAACACATCGATTTTGGTCACCATGAATTAGGATCATTTTCACTCTTTCGGCTTGTGTGTAAACCATTCTGGAATTAAAATCTGTATCAATAAATTAATTTTCACTATACCAAGATTGTGACAAAAGTAACTGACTGCAAATTAAATTCTTTCTTTCCCTTAGCAACAAATAACTAAACAGGTATAACAATAAATACAGTTCGCCTGGGATACCTGTGTTGATGAAAAAAATGCGGAAAATTCGGGTTGTTATTTGGTTGTTGCCACGTCTAATTTTCCGAATTGCTGTTTATGTTGGTAGTTTCCGTTTTAAACTATAAACGAATTTTAGATTTGGCAAACCCTAACGGGCAACATTTTGAACACTTATTGAAATAAAAAGTGGTATTTTCGTGTGTCTTGTTTTCTATCTGAACAAATTAAGATAAAGGACTTTCGAACAAGCTGTTACTTGATAGCCCTTGTCATTAAGAAATTTTAACGGAATCACCTTGGGGAGGCCAGGGTGAAAGGGGTGAGGTAATTTTTAGTTAAAAAGTTGTCCTCCTCTTTTGACGGGTCTCGGCGATTTCTTCCTCTTTACTACTAAATAAGTTGATGAATTAATAGCTTTTTACCTAAACCATGGATAATTAAATGATTAGAATATAACCCTGGCATTACATCAGAATGCCTAAATTGGCACAAATAAAGTTGATGATGTTTTATGCTTAATTTTTGAACAAAGTGGTTGTGTTTTTAATTTGTACGAGGTTAAGACTGGTCTAGTAAAGTAAAAAAAATCGTAATTACCGCGAGCGATGAGGGCTCACGGAAATGGGGGACTGCTCCTCGTAGACGTGAGTTCTACTTATAGATCGTTTCGGGGTGTTAATGCAGACAGTTCCCCTCTATAGAATCATAAATCATGTTGAGAAAATGAACACGTGGCTTAGAGAAAATGGTCACTTGCCTGCTTGATGGTTTAGCTGTATCTGCAACAACGACTAAATCCCCAAAATGTGAAAAAAGGGCCCCGACATCAAAATTCGCCAATGTAGGCTGATTTCTATCAAAATCGAGATAACCCAGCAAATCCCAGTACTAAAGTCGACAGAAATTACAAAAAATTATGAATTTTAACCCCACATCAACTCTATAACGAAACAATTCCCGTACCAGGGCCATCACTACGTTGGCCCTATCACACGCCTTCTATTGTCGAACAGAAACATCAACCACAACCCGGCAATGACCTTTAAAGGGTTGGAGAGTAGTGTACGATCCTCCACCACAGAACCATTTTAACAAAAGAAGTCTTTTGCGATAAAAATAAAATTCAATATTTTTAAGAACTGTTATAAAATCATTATTCTAAATAAGGAAAACGTTGTAATAATTTACTTTATCAAGATATAGTTAATTATCAGTCGACCATAAAAAGAAACTGCAACAAGTATTCCTACTGCATCCCAGAAACGTGGCTACTTAAAGTGACGTTCAAGGCATATAATCCTTGTTTTTTGCTATAATAATCAAATAAACACAACTGATCATTGGCTACGGACCCAAAAGGATATGGTGGCAAAAGTACTGAAAATGTACACACTGTCCTCTTCAATATAAATACTTTTAGAGTAAGATCCCAAGGTTTCAAGGCATTACCTTTTTCTCAAAGATAAAACGACAACACAACTTTACTTAAATTCTCATAGATTATTTTGTATATACTTTCTAAGTTTGTAAGTCTTGCAAAGTAATATTCAAGTAGCCTCAAATATCTTGCGTGGTCCGTAACTTCAGTCAGACACTTTAAGGCACCCAAAAAAGTAATTGAACTTCACATACATCTTTCTTTTTTAAGATTATTTTTAGCCTCTTATACAAACACATTTGGATTCTCATCACATTTTTCACAAAATACAAAGCTTAAGGGCTTCGGTATGATGTTCTCGCAAACATTTTTATCTGTCAGTTGTACTTTTTGGCATTGTCAGACTCGATTGGACCCGATATTACTCTGTATGTTACATACTCACATTCTCACATACATGGTAGTTGAGGCAGGCTGCGCGCCCTCGCGTTCGTACGGCTGACCGTCTTTTGTATTTGACGCGACGTTTCGCCCTTATGGTTTGTCTAGCTGAGCAAATATGGGTTTGAGATAGTCCCCTGAAAAATTCGCACAATTCGTTACAGTATAACATATTAAAAAAGCAATGAATAAGCGAATAAATGAGAGTCCCACATGAAGGAATACACCTTGTACATGGGTAAACTTCAATTATGTTTTGGATTAATCATTCTTTCAAGCAGGTCAAAAGATGTTTCTAAAGTCATTGGTCTAGAGAAAAAAATCCCTTATTCCATCTATAGGAATAAATATTTACCACCTTCTACTCCACTGTATTTGTATGTATTATACTGTAAGTAGTACATGTATAAAATTTTAAGACAATATCTTAATCCACACCGAAAGTATTTATAGTGTGAGTAGAGAAGAGTTGCTCAACTTTCGTTCTTTGTTCACCGAACTACATCATGCCGAAGAGCTGCCAAACAGCTAATGTTCGTCATTTTTTTGTCTTGGCGGTCCGTAGGACCTTTGCCTATTAGTCAGTGTCTAATGTACTTTAGTCGAATCTGTCAGTCCTGGTTGCCCAGAAACTAGACTGTGTTAAGGAAAAAGAGAAAGGGAAAGAAGAAAAGGGAGAAGAACAAAGAAAAACAGAAGTATTTAGTTTAAGAGGAAACACCTAGGCTTTTTGACTTGGTACACGGATTCATTTTGTTAGAGTATAATTTTAAGTTTACTAAAAGTTCGCGCTAATTTTTGATTACAGTGCGAGCCGTGGCCTTGAAGCAAGCTTGACATAATCCCTCAAGTAAGGAATGTCAAAGTCTCTGTGTAGTGTCTAGGGTGAAACATACCATGGAGCGTTGAAAATTGTTCGCAAAGTTCTGCTTTGCAGCACACAATTTGCATGTGTCTTGGCAAGAAAGCACCGAGCCGCACATGCATAAGTAATGGCTCGTCTAATAATCATTTTATGTAGGCGAACTTTGTTTATCATACTCAATTTGGAGGATCTACATAACAAAGGATATAGTTGCCGAAACGCAATTTGAAATTTTATTTTCAAGGCTGCTGTATGTTTCTGTCAGGTCATGCCGTTATCAAGGGTGACAACGAGTTACTTGGCAGAATTTGTCCATGGTACACGATTGCCGTCTACAGAAACCTCTGCTGGGGGGCCGCGACGTTTTTTGATACAATAAATAGCCTGCGTTTTCGAATGATTAATTTTAGCCACCGTTCCGCCCACTCTAGTACTTCGTCCACGGCACTCTGCAACCCATCGGGAACCAGATCACCTGTACACGACTGGGCGATAAGCGCAGTGTCGTCAGCCTAGAAGTAGACTTCACAGTTGCTGGGGCAGGAGACATCATGGATAAAAAGTGAATAAAGGAATGGTCCTAGAACCGAACCCTGAGGAACACCGGCTCGAACTGGCCGTGTTGTTGACAAAATATTGTTAATTTTTATCCGAAACTTCCTTCCTTCAAGAAAGGATTTCACTAATTTTAGAAGCCAGAAAGGATCAGTTTATAGAAGAGGCCCGTGTTCCACACCTTGCACGTATCGTCAGTCGTGCCTACAATTGTAGGGCGCGTTTATGGTCTCCTTGATTGTCCTACTCCTTTCTCTCCTTCAAAAATTTCTAGACTACACTTGTCCCGTGTCAGCGTCAGCGCTCTCCTGTTGTGAAGATATGTTTTCTTTTTAAATTGTAGGAAATTTCAGGCTAATAAAACATATATAGATATAAGTCAAAAGCAAGCACAATTTGATGCAAATAGATGTTTGTGACATAACCTCAAAATAGAGTTCTGACACGGAGAAGTAGAAAACTATGACAAACGAGGAGGCCATAGAGGCGCCCTACAATTGTAGGGACGACAGACGATACGGGCCTAAGACATCCAAAAGCAAGATGCCAGTACTCATGCTGAGGGTGAACCCTCCGGTTACATGTTCCACCAGCCTGGCTGCCTGTAGCTCGGTGCTATGCTCGGACCGAAAACCGAATTGAACGTCAGGAATCACATGGTGATTTTGACGAAAAATTCTCAAGGTGGCGATAAAGCACCTTTTCGGCGAGCTCAGAAGGAGCTGACAACAGACTAATGGGACGGTAATCCTGAGGAAATATCGAACCCACCTTCTTTGGAACCATGATGACCCCAGCAGTCTTCCACTCAGCAGGAAAGTGCTAGCTTCTGAGCATCGCATTGTCACCAAATATGTCAGAGCTTTCGGCGAGAGCAGCTTGAACGCCTTGTTGAGCTAACAGTTGTCCATGGTTGGCCATCTGTGGTCGATCAAGCGAACGCTATACTAAGGTTAGTTCTATTTTTACTTACCCTGCTCACCTGGTATCTGTAAATCCGACCACCATCCAACTTAGCGCATTCGCAGACGTTAAGAGCACGCTACTGAATGTTACAAGTTCTGTGTTTGGTTTGAGAAAATTTATAAATTATGAAAGGCAGCTCTAGGATCTTAGACTATATGCCGCTATTAGACCGCTACCATCGATACCTATCATTCTCCAATCTATGTTCAATATTTATTTGACAGTGACAATAAAGAAATATGAGTCGCAAATGCGAAAAAGATACACAATCAAACAACTCCCTCTTGAATTACTTTGCAGTCCTTGACAATGCTTCGCAAATCTCGTCACCAATACCCTCGCAGATAAAAATTCCTGAACTCTTGGAGGATGACGGCAGTTCTGAATCTGAAGGTGAGATGTTCAAGTCGGACACACATGTCCGAGTCTTGGAAGGAGCTGGTGATTGGAAAGCACACCGGTTCTCAGAAGAACCTTTTCCTACCAGAAAAGGAGAAGTCAGAATGAGGAATTTTAATGATCTGAAGTTGAACGATGAAGAGTTGAATGGTGTTTTGTCACAACGGATGATTGCATGGTCTATTTCAAACTTGCAGCGAGTACCAGAACTCAACTTCTATGCTTATGTGAAATTATCGCTTGAAGCGAAAGAGCTCACTGATATCACTGCTATCAAGAAGTATCATTTCATCCAATATTTAGATTTGTCGTTTAATAAGCTTACCACGCTACAACCTTTAGGTGATTTACCTTTCCTCCAATACTTGTATGTTAGTCACAATGAACTGGAAAACCTGCTTGACTTTAAAGCTCCTTTTTACCTTACTTACGTAAATTTCTCTTATAACCATGTGAAGAAGATGCCGGATCTGAAAGACTTTTGGTCTCTGGTGCATCTAGATCTATGCTTCAATGAGATCGAGAAGATAGAAGGAATAGAATCATTAAGGTTCTTGTCTCACTTGGACTTATCGCATAACAAAATACAAGTGGTAGAAAATATCAGCAATCTAAGGCTCCAGACGCTGTTAATTCGTTCAAATATGATAGATACGATCGAGGAAGAAGGGAAAGGCGTTGGGATCTCAACATTACATTTAATACGGACCATCGACCTCACATATAATAATATAAGCTCTTTGAGATACTTCGAGGGTTGCTATAACTTGGAGACATTGATCATTGCTGCAAATAAGGTACGCATCCCCCTCGATCTCCTTACCAGGTATGCTGTATGAGAGTTTTGTAGATAAAAATAGTAACTAGACAGTGTCAGATTTTTATCCTATAAATAGAGGTGTAGTAACTGCCGTATCAGCCGTATCATTGATACGGAGCCCCCTGCTTACAGAACCCTCCAGATTACAACTGCAGCGGCTAAACGATTTTTTTTTAAATTAAAAGTGATTAAATTATTTTAGGGTTTCATGGGAGAATTATGTCTTCTATTAGGGGGAGAGAATCCCTAACCTCTAAAATGGTCTCCAACTATGGATGATTTGATGAGAATTTCACAAAACAGATGTCAAGTATGTTGACTCAGGACTCGGTAAATTGAAAATCCTTGACACACAGACAGACTGACGGAAAAGGGTGATATGAACTTTTGCGTTGCCGACATCGGAAGATATACGAAAACTATTTGAAATTGTAAAATGTTCGTAGTCACAGTACATGCCCCCCTTATGCGTGGGAAAGTAAAATACTAGAAATACATATATTCGTCATTTGACCATTGTGAAGCAATAATTGTAAAAATCCATACTTAGTTATTACGTAATTATCTATTCCTATTATTTAATGCAAGCGTTTCAGTTTCTTTTGAGCAGAAGCTTTACCGGGAAGTCTACCCTCCATTCGAATTTCGCTACAACTCAGTGGGGTGCCTCTGTAAAATTTGATGTGGAAACACAAAATTGCAAAAATAATCGCGCAAATAATAGTTGATCTTTAAATCAGTACTACCGAAGTTTGATTTTTGGGGTTGTTTGCGAGAAACTTCAGACTTCAACTTTTCAGAGTGAATTGATGAAAATCTTATGTTAACTTTTTATATTAAATAGAAAGTTTGTGTTCCAAAATCCACCAGTAACTGAGACAAAGCGAACAAAAAAATACTTTTTAAAAACAAGCTTTCATTTAGCTATTAAAACGAAATTAGGAATATTTTTTTGCAATTGAAAATATCATTATATACTTCTCAACCTTTAAACCATATTTAAGCTCCTTCATCTCACGCTTTCAAATAAAAGCGTGTTGTATTTTAACAGCAAGAGGAAGAGCGGCTTAACACGCGGTTATTTGGAAACTGGAAATGGAGATTCAATAACAATAAATGTTAACAGGAAACGGCATATTTTTCAGTCGGAAAAGTAATTCTGATTTTAAGAAATCAGAATTACTTTAGCTTTTAACAGCTGATCAAAAGCTTCTTTTAAAAAAAATTATTTTATTCATACTTTACTTTCTAATATCTATGATAAGTAACTCGTTCCATAATTTCTATCTAATTTACATATATATTATTAACAGGACTTCATAGAATTGAAATCCATACACCACTGATGTCGTAATGTGTACGAGAGAAGCGCGGGAAGCGTACAATATGTATGTTAGACAGAGATAGAAGCACCTCGTCGCTTGCATCGATTTATTAGGAAGTTCCCATGCCCTGCTGAATTTATTGTATTGTATTTCTATGACAAAGCCTTTTCATTTAATACCTTTATCATAGTGCATACTATGGGAGACATAAATCGCCAATTTGTAGCATCCGCCATATGGAATTCAAAATGGCGGCTCCCATACATTTTGTATTGTCACGCGATCCAAACGGGTGTACAAACTTTATCCTTGATTGGATAAGCTTGTAATCATATGATCTCAAGCTAAGTAAGACATTGACCAATTTCTGAGTATATGGCGACTATTGCAACTTTAGTCAATACAGGAAACGCAAATTTGACTTGCAATCAGATCGTACTTTCAGATTTCTTCGCTTACGGACATATACTGCCTGAGGAGCCTGATCCACCTTCGAAGTTTGGACATAAGAGATAATCCAATCTGTTGCTTGCCTTATTGCATGAGCATGTGCTACAGAACACTTGAACACTTACACGAACTAAATGGGGACGAAGTTACTGCCAAGAAACGAGTGATGTCAAAGTTCACTCCAAATGTTGAGTACACGTTGCGAGCCCGACTAGACAGGATGGAGTTACTATTGCTGGAGCAAATGAATCAACCCATGGTTTCTGGATTTTCTTTCAATAGTACAACATGATTCAGACAACAGTGGCAATATTTCAAGGGATAATGGAAGATCAAAAAGTTTCATATACATGTCCTTCTTACCGAGATCTTTATTCATTCAATTTTAATAGCATACAGAATACATACAAAAAGTTTCGTGAGTGAGTGCATAGAGATTGCAAAATTTTGATCCCTACAGGTGGAAAAAAATTGTTTCCGACAAAATGCTTTTGGTGCATCTATTGCATTTCTGAATAAGTTGTCCAATTTAATGAAGTTTGTCTCCCGAGATATTTTTGTCAGACTATTGCTTTTGGAGAACGGTTGGTTCCAGTGTTTGAGTTAAAGTCGGTTTACTTAGTAGAGCTTGGCATTGATACCTGTTTTTTGACGTCATCTCAGCGTTATTTGAACAATATTCATGTTTGGTTCTTATTCGATATCATCAATGGCTCAAAAACTTACAGCGCCCTATAAACATGCATTTTGGGACATATATTTATACCTACGAACTTTTTTGTTATTTTTTAATTTACTTTCTGCTCTATGGTTTTTTAATCATCATGTACAGTGTGTACCAAATGTTGAGGTAATACTAAATAATCACTTGAAAAATGTTATTCAGACATCTAATTTGCGAAGGCAATCATATACAAAATCAACCTCATTTCCTGTGCTCTCGATGCTAAAAGACGTACTTTCTACAGGTGTCCAGTGGGAAAGTTCACTTTTTGATTTAAGAAAAGAGATACAAACTTAATGACAAGAAAATATTTATAACTACCAACATATTCGTAAATTCGGCGGGTTTTATTTCTTAAATATTATTCCGTCCAAATGTCTGCCATTCCTTCGGACAAACTCTTCGAATCGCGCGCGCAAATTCTAAAACACTTTCTTGCAGAGTTCCGGAGTGATGTTGATTATTTCTCGTCGAATGTTGTCTTTAAGCTTCTCCAGTACTCGTGGATTGTTGGAATACACTTTTGACTAGATAACCCCACAAAAAATAATCGCATGGCGTGAGGTCGGGTGACCTAAGAGGCCAGTGAATGTCTCCAAACTTCGATATAACTTTTTGAGGAACAAGTGATTTCGCGCTGTCCATCGATTCTCGGTAAGTAGGAGCAGTGGCCCCATCCTGTTGAAACCATGTGTTTCTGATAAATCGACGTTCTGTTCTTACAATAGGAGCAAAAAAATCATGTCCGTTTTGAACTTCAAAGAAATACGGCACAATGATACCGCTAGAGAATAGAATAAAGAGTAGAGTCTGTTTCACGGAATCTCTTGATTCACTTTTTCAATAGGTTTACTTGGGGCATCTCTTTGTCGGCGTATATTGTATCGTGTACAAAATTTCCGAGGGGCAGCTGCGTAAGAATGACAACTCTTAAAGTAACCCTTGATAGCAAAAGCACGTTGCGCTCCGGTCCAACGTTCCATTTTGACTAATTAATCCGCACGTCGAACGCGTCGATCAAGACCTCTCGCCACTTCCTCGCGTATACGGCTTTCCCACTGGTATTTGAATGAATTGATTTCTGGGTTTTCTAAAATTCAATTTTTATTTGCCATACAATTCATATCGCAGCGACAAAAATAGGATACAAATTATAATTTTTGTGAGGTATCATAAAAATTATACCGCAAAAACGGTTACACCTAGAGATAGTATCACACAGATGAAATATATTGAGAATCTCAGGTAGAACACAAAAAATTTATAATATTCAGGGTCTTCTGATGGAAATAAGCAAGCTGGGATTTATTGCCGGTACAACCAATATGAAAATATTTTATCCGAATTGCTTAGTAAATACTCAAATTTACGGAACTGTTTCGCGTCAACCTTTGAGTAATCAATCGCGACAGTTCTGTTTTCTTTACAATAACCCTAAGCTATTGACCTCAAGCGTTTTGCTAGATTCAGTGCTACGCCTCAAAATCTGCGAAAGAATAGCATTGCTGTATCAGCGAGTTCTGCGTTGGTTGTTCTAGATTGGAGCTCACGTAGTACCGTGTGACTTCCCCCCACCTCCTATAATACTGCTCGCTGGCCCTCCTGGAAGTAGAAAAAAAGAGATTGCGTTCGAATTTGCGATGAAGAATCCCAAGGCTGTCCTTGGTGTCAGCCACACAACTCGACAACGAAATGCTGAAGAAGTAGATGGCCGCCACTACTACTTCGTAGATGAAAACAAGTTTGATTATCTTTTGAAGCATGGAGAATTTATGACTGTTTCGGAATCATACGGTTTTCGATACGGAATCTCATTCAGGTAAGATCTTGAACAACCCAAATTTAATCCAAGCCAAACAAGAGAAGTAACCAACTTTTCACAGACCGATAGAACTCAACCTCGCAATCTCAAACATTCTAAGCTAGCAATTTGATCTACCAACTGCAGTGACCCAGGCCGTTGACTAACGTTTTCTACCTGAGAAGAAATCAAATAGAGTAGTGCTTATTGTGTTAATTTATCTTAGCGCTTACTTTTACTAAATATATTACAGTCAAAATTCATGCTGCAAAAATGAGTTAAGAGTAGTTTTGGCAAAGCCTCTTCGAACGGAGATATTGATCAATAGTGATTGTAACTAAATTATATGGATCAAAATTGGTTTTAACCAGGTGTTTACTCATCATAGTTTTTAGAGAAATGAAATGAACATTTTAATTAGTCATTAACCTCGATAGCATTAAATATTTTTAAAAAATGATTATTAAATACTTAAAGCAACAGATTTTTTAATATTTAATTAATATATTTCTTATATATTTACAAAATATTCATTATAGATGTTTGTAGTATATATAATTCATATATTTTTGCGATATTTTTTCCAAATGTTTAGAAAATATATGAGGAGAGATTTTTAAATATTAATTATATATTTTGATTAAATATCTAATATTTTCGTAAATATGTATGGACTTTCAAGCATTAATCTGATACATATTTTCAGTGTACATAGAAAACTCGTCATTGGTTATTTTAGCGAAACCTGTAGGAATGCTTATATAAAATTGGGTTTATAAAGAAAATTCATTCTAGATATAATGGTTTAATTTGCTAAAATAATATTATTAAAAAGACATTCTAAGCCTCTTTTGCATCTTGCAAGTTCATTACTCTGAAAAAATAAACAAACTTATTAATTATGAAGTATTATTGAATACATAAGCTGCTTTCCAGTGTATTTATTCGTACTGAGCATGGTGAGTTACTCCGACTAGCTCAACTGGGTCACTGAAAAGCAGCTCTATAATGCACGTAAAAGGACCCCTACATGTTATGCCTATGATAGTTTGAGCTTTGGTTAATTTTTAGGAAAATTTAGTATGTGATTTTAGATATCCACCAATACCAAATAACTGTTACACTTCAATGCTAGTTATTTATGGTCTTATGGATACCGTTATACTCAGCTGGCACAATGATGTTTATTAGTCAGATAAATCAAGCGATGTTATTTACGAAAAACTTACTCTTTTATCTTCTCCATAAAAAAAACACTCAAATAATGAACCACTTGGAGGTACACAGGAAGCACGCTAACATAGAGAAGGTCACAGGTAAAATGGCTTTCGGCCTCAGGCCGACTTGCTATTATCCCATTGGTCGCTCGAGGTCACACGCACAGACATGTGCCGTAGCCGAAAATATTTAATGAATGTGTTCTAAATATTGGAGATTTAATATTTTCCATTGATTGAAAAGTAAAAATTTAATGAATATTATAAAAGAAATAATGTGTTTAAAATATTTGAAAGATGTTGAATAAATATTTAATAAAAATATTATATTACAAATATTTATTAAATATTTGTTTAAGAAAACAAATATTTAAGTACGATAAAAATATTATCAAATGTTAAATAAATATTTGATGAATATTTCGTGCTATCGTGGAAGATTATCGGCACACAATAATTCAAATTAGATAACACTTTATTATATCTACTATGAATACTTTTTGTGAAAAATAAGAATATGAGAGTAATAAAATAGAATAAAATAAAAAAGTTGAATTTAAAGTTATTAAACTGAAGAACTAACATTATTGGTTGTTGTTAGCTGCTGTACCTATGGTACACTCATAGCACTTGCCTTGTACAGACATCTGTTCAAGAAGGAAGACGTAGGTCAAAACCACTTTTGACTGCGAGAGTCAGTCAAAATTCCTTTTTACTAATCAGGAGATACACTTTTCGGATGACCGATTTAGTCGCAGCTCTATGTATTGAATAAGACTCGCTAGTGCTGTATATTCTTGCAGTGTTGAGATGCACAGCTCGAAAATAAGGCACACATTACTCACGAAAGTGTCAGTCACACCATTTGACAAGGCTCCAAATAGGCATATTGTAGTAAGGTATTCTGTAAGCGATTTTACTAAAGTATTTATTTAGCTGTAAGAAATGAAATTGAGTAGTTGTTGTTTTTTAAGTCATAAGACGCAGTTGGAAGATGAATAAATCAGCTACTGTTTTGTATCAATCACCTCATTTGAGTGGCGCTCATTTTAAACAAGGAAAGCATTTGTGAAACTTGGATAGATGGTGAGACCTACACTTTCAAGAAAAACTTCTTCTTTATTTTTAAGCTTTGTACCTTAGGATCTCAAAAGTGTACTACCAAGTCTCTAACAACACATAGTCAAGATCGGTGACCCGAAGGGTTCAAGTACATCGGTTGACTGATTTTTGCAGTTAAAAATGGAGTTAACCTTTTAAGAGTTTTGGCTGTAACATATATGTATACTCCGGAAAGATGAATGTCGCATAGATGGCACTGTGGCTACCTATATGCTTGTATATATTCTCATACAGACAGCGCATCAAGAAGACATAAATCACCTCATCAAAGCCATGTACTGATGATCGAACAAAGCTATACCTACATCGGGGTGGTCTACAAATTATTAGAGGAATCTTTGAATCAGTAAATGTTTTCACTGTGAGTATAACCTCTCATCTCACTTTGTTACAGAGAACTTGCTAAGGCCACCACAGAGAATAAGGTTCTCGTATTCTACACCGACCTTTCAGCTGCTCTAATGCTTAAACTGATGAATATGTGCCCCAAAATAGTTTTAGCTCTGCCGAAAAGAGAGAAAACACATTTGAATTGGTTGAAGGAGAAGTACATCTACCAATTCATCAATAGAGACCTGGTGTTGATTAGGAATTGCCCGGCTTGTGTGAGGGAAGTAAAGGCAGTCGAGTTATCCACTGAAGGGTCAACTGTATCATCAGAATCAACTATCGCTTCTACAGATCAGAACACATCGCCTGCGAGCCATGATTACCTGGTAATTTTCAGTTATCTTAACGATGTCATGGTGCTAGGCCACATTTTATTTTTATACTATCTGCCTCACGACACAAGTAGGATTTATGTGTACTTGTACCTACCACCAGATACAGAATTACTAGAGAATATTACGATTTCCAAATTAATAAAATATAAGTTACCACAAATGCGGATTCCATTTTTTTAATACAAGAAATCGGTAACGTAACAGGCACTTTGGGTCGAGAATTCTTTGAAAACCTGATAACCAGGTTGGAGGGGTAGCAGCAACGAGTAGACGGCAATCTGGACCATACGCAGCAGGATGGGGCTACTTGTCATATTGCAAGTGCCACCATGGCCTTGTGAGCTATTGACTCAAAGGTGGTACCTCACTTTGGTAATACTGCATGGTCACTGTGAACAACAGATCTTTCTCCATGGATTTTTTTCCGTGAATATAGCTCAAAAGCATACTTCACTCCAACACTCGGAATAATATCGCTCATATGAAAGAAGATATCTGAACTTGCTGTGGCTCAAGTTTTTTTTTATTTAATATAGAAACTCTGAGTATTTTCTGGGCACCCTGTAAAACTGAACTTTGACTCGAAACTAGCAAATGCTTTGTAACTCCTGAAACTAGTCCGGATGTTTTCATGTCCATTGGACTCCATGTCTGACTGAACCGAACCATATACCAGTATATTTTGCTGTATTCCAGGTGACAACTCATCAAGTTTTTGTTTCCTTCATTCCTATACAGTATGTTCAAACAATAGACTGAACTGTCCTGTAGCATCATTACCCTCTCGAGCAGCTAGCATAAGGATATCTCTCATTTTTTGTGTGTTAATTCCATCTCAAATACATAGACGTTTTACTTCGCCATATCACGGTTAGGCAGTTGAATGATATATTAATTCCCCGCAAGCTATGCAGAATAGTACCTTCTAGATGTTGAAGTACTATATCTGCACTTCAGATCCATGAACAATGCACATGAAGCATCAGTAGTCAAAGATTGCATGAAACTTCACCGGTATGTTACGACAATAGTTAAGGGTAGAGCTTTTGTGTTCTCGAATAGCGTTTAGAGTTTTCGGGACGATAGACGAAACTGGCTATATGCTATATTCAAGAAATGCCAAAACCTCATTCTCGCTTGTTGATAGGGGGCTGGGAATACCTCCTGGGGATCTCTGACTTTACGCGACGTTATCTTAAAAATGTAATGTAATTGTAATGACGGCCGATGGAAAATATACTGTCATTAGTTGTCATTGTACTTGAAAAAAGCCACCGTGGTGACTGAAACATCCGACGAAAAACATATATGTGGTATGATTCGACCAGACAATGGAGTACTAGCAACTTTTTGCTTAAATTCACCTCGCAACTACGAGTTTGCCTTATCAAAAACGCACAGTGATTTTATCATTTATTGAAAACACTCTAGACTACTATTGACACTCAATTTACTTCAGATATTACATTGTTAGCATTCCATAAGTGGATACATAGAAGGAGCAGGCTTCATTTGTTTACACAGCCGTAACTGTTTCACTATGGGACAGAAGCCATCGTATGGAAAGGAACTGAATGAAATGCCGGCTGGAAAATTTGATATAGTAAATAAGGAGTCACACGTGAGCCAGTGCAAAACTTGTTGCATCGGATATACAGACGCCTCAACTGAAACAACTGAACGTTGTAAGTAAACAAGTTTCACTTTCTGAAGGACATCGACGACTAACCACTGAATATTTAAATCGGAAACTACACTTAGGCAATTCAACAGTGTAATTTTCAGACTCCGACGCCTCCAGATCAGCGATAGTCTACGGAAGGTCACGCAGTTGGACTTCGCATCAATACATTGCTGATAGTCCTGATCGGTCACATAAAGGGTGTAAAACGTTATGGTAGTCATTATTGAAATGGGTAATAGGGGGCGTCAAAACAAGTCAAAAAGTTCCTGTGACCCATGGTCCAAAAGTCAATAGATTTTTATCTAAATGACTTTATAGTTTACAACTTTAAGTGATTTATAACGATCACAATCACCACAAACTTACTAATTTGTATAATCTAATATAAAACGTTTTTAAATTGGGTAATTAACAAATAAATGGCATTGAGTTTTTCTAGGTTAAGCCAAAATTTGCAGTCAGTAAGTAAGTAAGTTTCATTGAATTGAATATTTAAAATACATATCACAATAGCGCGTCGGTCATTATTACCCTTATCGAACCGGCAATCGATCGCAAACGGTAACAGTAGTTAGTATGTTGTTTCGTTTTTGTTCGTGTACGTCGTCTTTTGATTTACAATGTTCTCAAATCAAGAGTTCGCCGACATGTTGTTAGTTTATGGTGAAGCTCGTCAGAATTCAAATCTTGCAGCTCAAATTTATCGCGTCAGATTTCGCCAACGGGTACACCCAGACAGAAGGACATTTGTGCAAGTGTACCAAAGACTTCGAGATACAGGAAGTGTTCAGCCCACTAATATTCGCACTCGTGAAAGACAGGTTACTGTAGAGCAGGAGGAACAAATTTTGATTATCGTGGAAATCAGCACTCGGAAATTAGGCCGCCGCGTAGGACTATCGCATACCATATTCCATAGAATCGTACGAGAAAATTTGCTTTATCCCTACCATATACAACGAGTGCAGGCCTTGTTACCAGAAGACTATCCTCGCAGACTAACATTCTGTCAGTGGCTTTTGCACAAAAACATTGAAGATCCGGATTTTTTTTATAAAACATTCTAGCGACGGACGAATGTACTTTTACGCGAGACGGGATATTAAATTTCCATAATACTCACACGTGGGCCCAAGAAAATCCTCATTCCATTCTTGAAGGTCGTAGTTAAGCTTGTGTGGAAAGTGGAGGACGACATTTTGAACACCTTCTTTAAATACAAAAAGTGCAGTGTGGGTTTTGAAAAGAAAAACAATGTATGTATCGAAATATATACATAATAGCCTAAGAGCCAAAAATAACAGACTCCGTCTTTATTTACACTGCATTTCGTAGTAATTCGCGTCTGGCATTGCGGCGTTGTCAGATTTTATTTTACTTTGAAGTCACTTTTCTCTAAAGAAATGCCGTTTTGACCCCCATGTTATATGAAACTTTTTGCTTCTTTTAAGCCCCTCCATCACCCATTTAAATAATGACTATCATAACGTTCACACCCTGTATAGATATAGCAGACCAGATCAAAGCAGCTCATAGCAAGTCAACATCATATCATTAACCTGTATACAGTCTCTGATAGTCAAAAATTATTTGTTGGAAAAAGGAAATGATTTAGTGAAACGACCGATTGGCTACCAGCGGACTCATGAGGAGCAATAAATCAACATAACCTAATAATGTATATATTATGCAATCTTCTCGTCATTTTGTCTGAATTGTGTCAATGTTAAGTATAATGCCCACAAAAATATATACCTATCACTTTAGTAAGTTTGATAACTTATTTCGGCATAACAGCCTTGAAGGAAGCGCGAAAAAACCGGTACAGAAAAAAGTATAAAATCCTATATAAATAATCTGTACAGCAGAGCAACTAAACCGCGTCTGTCACTACGCTAATCACGCGGAAATTTTGCTGTTTTGGTTTGGATTAAATTTACTGTACTCGTTACGATGGCCCAAGGCAGAGTGGACCATAGGATCTATTAAAGAATAGCGTTGTTGTTTTTTTACACGATCGTATGATACTGAATAGGAAAAAGCGGAACTAATTACGTTGACAAATTTTTAAAATACGGCTCCACAGAAACTCTAAACGTTGGTAACGATATATGCAGCTATGAAAAAAAATTGGGGCAACCTATATTCCTACCATGGCTTGAAATAACCAGAAAGTAAAAAACGCCAAATAACACATTTTTGCATTCTTTAGGTATTGGCCCCCATGAACTTTTATATCACTACAAGAAATAAAAATCAAAAAAATAATACTTCTAGGATTCCTGGACAAATGTCTGATGGAAATGAAATGTTAAATGATCCTAAACATATCAGTAATGCTTTCGCTAAGTTTTTTGAGAGTGTTTACTCTGTACCTGAGATTACTGATGAACAACTTAGCTTTGACCTTCAAGGATGCGATCTTTTGGATATTACCTGCGTAGCGATATCTGAGCGCGAAATTCTAAAAGTTGGACAAAAATTAAAAAACAAGTTCACTTCTGGGCCAGATCAAATTCTATCTTTCTTTCTTAAAGACTGCATAGCAGTACTAGCAAGGCCACTTAAAGTATTGTTTAATTTGATCCTGAATACTTCCGTTTTTCCTGACAAGTTTAAAATTGCTAAGATATGCCCTATATTCAAAAATCAATCATCACTAACTACAGGGGAATATCCATTTTGAACAATTTTGCTAAGCTTCTTGACATGATTTTATATGATCGTATCTACCAGTCTGCAAAAAATAGCATTTCTATTTATCAATACGGTTTCACGAAGTTTCGGTCAACTATTAGCAACTTAGCGGTTTTTAGCCAGTTTTTATGTGAAACAGCTGACAGCAGCGGTCAAGTTGATGTAATGTATGCCGACTTTTCCAAAGCTTTTGACAAGATCAGTCATGAGATTCTCCTCAAGAAACTTTGTTATCTAGGTTTACAAAATAACTATGTCTTGCAATTAAAATCATATTTATCTAATAGACAACAATACGTATGTGTAAATAATGTGAGATCGGAAGTATTCACTGCCACTAGCTATTGTTTGCGGATGATTTAAAAATATATATATCAGTATGCAGTGAAGAAGACTGTATCATCTTACAGGAACAAATCACTTTTCTATAGAACTGGTGTGTAAGAAATCATCTGCATTTGAACATTTTTAAATGCAAAGTAGTAACATTTAGTCGCAAGTCCAAGCCTATATATTATCGATATACTATTGAGAATTCGACACTAGCAAGAACCGATTGCATTAGAGATTTAGGTGTCTATTTTGATAGTCAGTTGACATTTAATTTTCATGTAAGCCAAACAGCGCTGAGTGCTTGTCGCACATACGGTTTTATTGTTAGGAATTGCAAGAGTTTCAATGACACCTCAGCATTATCGTCTCTGTATTTCAGTCTAGTAAGATCTAAACTGGAGTATGGCTCATTCATATGGAGTCCTATATATAGCCAATATATCGTTGCTATTGAAAAAGCACAAAAGAAATTTTTGAAATTCACAGCTTTTAAAATCGATGGTGTGTATCCACCAAGAGGCTGTAGTTATCCTGAGGTGCTACATAGATTTGATTATCAGTCTTTGGAGAGCCGTAAATATCAGTTATCTGTACTTTTCTTGCACAAGCTTTTCCATGGAAAAGTAGATTGTCCTGTATTGTTAGCTCAAGTAGATATTCTGGTTCCTAGAATAACATCTAGACAATACAGGACTTTCCTGTGCAAAAGAGCTCAAACTAACTTACTACTGAAGGCTCCAATCAATTTTATGTGCCGAAATGCCAACAAAATTTCAAGTGCATGTGATATTTTTCACTGCAATTAAAGAATAAATCTCGCGCCCATCTATGATGGATTTTGGTGAAGTTTTTCATGTTTCTTTTGTTTCTGTTTTTTTCTGTTTTACATTTTGTGCTGTAACGACTATGTAAGCTATATTACTGCTTTTTGCTCTGTAAATGGTGATCACTGTTGGGCAATAAACGCATTATTATTATTATTATTATTATTAAATAAATATACTACGATAACATTCAAAATATTTTGTTTGTTGACGTTTTCAGGTCTTTCTTTTTTATTTATTTCTGCACTATCATTGGTGAAAGCATTCAAGGCGTTCTGTCATAGCAATATCTTTATCAAAATTTCATTAGAATCAGAGCAGTAACGTCCAAGTATAAGAATAGAGGACTTCGCAGTTTTTCTGCTGAAGTACTGTTAAAGACTCTTGTTCTGGCTAAAAATATCCACATACAGAATCTGTTTAATTTATAATGTAATCAGCTACTTGAATGATTTTCAATGCACAGCACAACGCAGCTAACATCGCTGAGGCTGTCCCTGCTTCTAGCTGTGTGCTCCACTCATCTGACAAATCTTAGAGGGATTCACCTGGTCCGCAGATGTTTATACACTGTGCTTAGGGACTGGCGTTCCCATAAGGGCCGCACCATACGATGTGACTAAATCTGGGTGATCTGTAAAGGAACGATACAGCAGAGGGAACTGAAGATATCAATTCAGATCATCTTGATGAATTGAATCCGATAGTTCCGATTATGATTCCTGGAATCGACTTCGACCGTTGCGATACAATAAACTATTATCTACTGTACCTGCCAGAATCGACGGGATCTACCGGTCACAGTGATGATTCAGAATTCGATGCATACTGAGAACCGTACACAATTCCAACAGATAGCTGCCATTCACCCTCACAGTGATCCATTCTGGTAATAGATGGCGCTTTTGCGATCGTATTTGGATAGATCGTATAATACCTCCGATAGAGTTTACTACGCGGAATATAAATATACCCTTCTCATGCTTGAAAACCTTAGCTTGAATGAAAGTAGATAAGTAACGATTTCTGGCAAATAAAATCTAGACAGATCAATACATCTGTCAACATACATACATGTTGTTTTTTTATTTACTAGATTCCCAATAGGGAATATGCATTCTCTTTATGTATTTTCTGTCGATTTATTTACCTTCATATAATACCGTAAATACATATTTCATTAATGGAAATACCTATGTTTATTTTTAGTTAAATAGTCAATCCTGCAATGCCATTGATATTGATTTGATCGCCGCATTTATGGCGAACTGCGTGGTCACGTCATAACCCATGTTTCGTCATTTGATTGTGTTTTTCGTTAGGTTGCTGTGGTTTCTGACATGCTATCTGTTTCTATTTTGTGTCAGTCACTACAAATTACACTCAACATCTAGAAAATATCAGGCTGACAATCAGCGACAGTGAGAACCGACTCCTGCCATTTTACATCGGACTGAGCAATCAACCGACGGTTGGCTGTTCACAAGTCGCAAATGCCAATAGCGTTGTCTTTCGACATTTTGAAACAGGGTGTTTTTTCCATTGTGTTCGTTGATTAATTTTATGACGCTTAAGTATAAGTAGTATAAGTGTATCTCGCCGTTTCGGGACTTTTGGACCACCAGTATAGTTACGCTCAACCTCTAGGTGACAAATGTGTTCAGTGTGACACTTTGGCGGGATCATCAGTGAATAGTAAAAGGGATGTTCACAAAGGAATATCGTTCAACAACTCTTTGGACAGCTTCGAAAAGACGGAAAGTGACTGGAGCGATCCCCTACAAGACGTCATCCATAAGAGCGTCAGTGATTCGTATCTGCTTCAAGTCACAAACTCCAGTAAATCAGCTAACATCACTCATCGTCCGCTTCTAAGCGTGCTTAGTAAAGCTCAAGTACACGTGAGTATTACACCTATCTTTTGGAGCGCCCACACCATCGGAAAAAGTGATCGGAAGGCTTCCAGACTGAGAAAAAGTATAATTAAAGCAATTAACCCTATTAAAAAATTTTAATCAACTATGTAATAGCTAACAAGTTGGCTTAATTAAACTCCGATTTCTGAAACAGTGTACTTGAACCTACGAAACCAGTTTGATTAAACCAAAGCGCAATCACTTAATTATATCTATTAAGCCGTTTACCTAGATTGAGTATGCCAATTTACTCTTAATTAATAAACTATTACAATGAGTTTCACTGCTACAAGTAAAAAAAAATAATTACATTTATTTAATTGGTCTAGCCTAGCTTTAATTATTTTATTCAGACTTAGGAGTATATTTGCCTAATGTTTGGAACTTAAAAGAAGAAATTGCATTTTATTGAATGACGTATATTATAACTGTGCTCTGACAAATCTTTTTGGAATTTGGAAACTCGCAATTAATATTTGATATTTTTATCTTCACTGATTTTGAACTTTTAATATGAGGGATTAAGTTTCATTGATTATTTGTCTAATTGTCCAGAAACAGGTTGTAATATATCAGCATTATCTAGAAGCAATTCTTTGTTTTAAATTCAGAGAGTATGGAAATGGTACCTGAAACGGAATAAGGCCACATGATTATGTGTACAAAAATTGTAATTTAACTTCTATGAATAAAACGATATTGCATTCAACGGATTCACATACATAGGTAAATTCGACATCACTTTAAACAAAGTAGGATATTTTCTGATACTAAAAAGGATACCAACAGAGAACATTGCCCTAAAGACACAATTAAATTTCAAACTTCCTCTCATTCCATCACGTCAGCAGTGACTCTCCTATTTAGATAGAGGAATATGTTAACCATGGTTATGGGTCACTTAGCGCCTATTTCACTTAGTCGCCATGATTAATCCACTTCATCGCTAATACTACACCAACAACGACAGCATCCGAATATGAGGCTCCTCGCGAAAATGAGTCAAAGGGGTTCCAAGCGCGTCACTGGCACTGTATCTATCGCATACTACCGATCACCCAGGAATGAAGCGCCGAGTCCTGCCGAGTTCGCGATTCAAAGAACGAGTTTCCTTTTAAACTTAATTACCTAAGCTAATTTAACAGTTCAATAAAAGAGGTACATGGTTTGCTATTTTCAATTGAACTGGGTCCAGAAAATTTAGTTTAATCGAACCGAATAATTTTGTTACTTAGTATAATTAATACAATTATCACGGGTAATAGAGATTTTTCAGAACAACTGCTTATTTGACCACGTTTTCTCAGTGCACTACGAGCAGAGCTTTACCACTCACCAATATAGGTTTATCAAAGACTCGACACGTGTTTCGCTAACTATGTGTTAGCATCTTCAGGAGATGCTAACTATGTTAGCATCTTCAGGAGAGGATTAAGCCTGAATGATATCTAACATATACTTGACATATACAGCCAACCGTGGTCTCATCACCCAATGAAGCTCGTGATGCCTCTAAATGTCGGAATGACACGACACAAGTACACGTCACCTTTAAGGTCACTAGGCTGTTAAGAATATGAACATTGTTCTTGCTCATTACATTCCCTAACCTCTTTGCTATTTCTAAGCTTTCACATGTATCTAGAGACTTTCTGAAGACCCTTTGTATACTTGCGAGTGAAAGGTATTGCTACATTTTCGGTGTCTCCCTTCCAGTTGTGAATCCGGAAGCGTTTTCTCAAAATCATGATCGCTAACTAATTTTTCTACAATGTCAGCATCATTACCGTTGACCCTACCCATTTTCTTGATTGTCCTCTCTTCTTCCTGAAAGCTTTCCCTGATCAGTGGGAAAGTGACTAGTCTGTAAACCAAAAAGTTAAACCTTACATTTTATGTTATTTTCATTGTTTCTTCTAACCAAAACATGTAAAAACGGTAACTGGTAATCCTTTTCAGTTTTGTATCTGAGTTTAACTGAATTAAATTTTGACTATTTATCATATGCGTATGTATCTAAACCATACGATGGGGAAATAATCAAAATATCTTTCAGCATTTTCATATAATGATTCTAAAATGGCCCAGGCAAGTGTGGAGTTAGACACTTTCACAGGACTGTACCTTCTATCTGTTCAATATATCTTCCCTTGTACTGGAAAATATTTTGATCCTTACATAGCTGCACTAGAGTGATCAGTTCGTTTAACATGTTTGATTTTCTCTATAAATTTGTAATAATTTTTGAAAGACCGACCTTCGAAAGTTTATGGTTTTTCAAATTCCTAGACCAAAACTTCGATATGCAATATGTGGAAGAACCTGTAGCTGGCATTATGGGCCTCATAGCATTCCCTGGTTTGTAATATTTTGGAAGGCAGTACATCTTGGATATGCTCGGATAAGAAATTTGGAGTTATATTTTTAACCAACAAGGTTTTTGCAACCATTCAGTGTCGTTTTCACCTAATTAATCATCTTTGCCAGGAGATTTTAGTATAGTATTAGGTGGTTCTATAATGAAGAATGAATTAGTCTCCTATGTCTGTAAAAATTTCTGTTTGTAATGATATTGGCTACCCGTAAGGATCCAACATCACATACGTTCTAAATTGAAGGTTAGATGCTATACAAAGACGTCGACTCCTACTTACAATGTAAAATCCGAAACTTATCTTGTGGTTTACATGTCCATAATCCCCCATGCCAATAAAACCACATGCATTGATATATCCTTTTTGCTGTAGTAAACGTTTCAATCACAAAGCTCATCTTCTTCAGTACAATGAGAATATTACAAATCTTTGGTCGGACGAGTGAAAGCAGCACGTTTAGTTGCTCAATGGTAGTAGACCACATGTACTGAATAGTCAGCGACAGCCTCTAGTGGTTTCAGTGGTGACTGAGCTATCAGACGCGAACTGAGGTCTTTACAGTTCTAACCGGCAGCCGCAGGGGTCTTGGAGAGAGGATAGTTGCTATACTTTTGCTGATTGTCCGATAGACCAAGCCTAGGTCATACTGATGAGTTACCAAAAAGCACGGAACGGGTGGAGCTAGTAACGACACTGATACGATGCATCCACGGATTTTGGAATTCTAGGCAGATGCTCTAATCACTACCGTAATATCCAATCATAATTTATTTGCAGGTAAACGAAACAGATAGCGCCAAACAAGAAACTATCTACATGACCGCAACTGAGACATTTGATATGCTTCAGCAAGAACATCTGAAAGTATTTCTCGAAGATGTTATGGACAACAGACAACAGTTGCTTGAACTTCATAATGAAAATATCGGATTGTTCAGAGATGTTATTTTTACTGACGAAATTGATGATGCTCTACGTAGGCTCAAAAACATTTTGAAGTATACTATAAAGAATCATATAATCTCAAAGGAAGACTTCAATATCAAAGAGGATCCCGTTTACAAGAAGATGATTGATAAGAAGCTAAAGAAAATAGGTATGCTACAAAATGTACATTCAAAAAAAAATTAGATGTTTGCACTCCGTTTAGCTATTAATAAACCTTTGTTATGTATCGTGAAACGTGTGTGTTTTCTGTCCTTATAATACATCCAAATTTCAATTTACTACGGTCCTGATGTTCATAGAGAAGCTGATTTTATCAGGCTGCAATATAGCGTTTCCGTAACTCTGTGTTTCCATATATCTACAGGTATGTACGTAAGGTTCTTGAATCGGAGATCTCCAAAGTCAGGCGCTCTTTACTGTCTGCTCGTGTAATAGAACCGGATCCCATAAAATGCATGCAAACTTAACGGAAAACTTTTATAGTAGATCATAGCGGAATTCCTCCTCGTGTCATAAAGCTTATAGTATTTCTATTAAACTCCCATCTCACATTCACATCATGCTTTGGTTGTGTGAGCGGTAGCTCTTTCATCTTACTCGTACCTCGATATTATCAAAACGGACAGAAGAATTCTAATAGTAGTCCCACGTCTGTCCCAGGTCGCTAGAGCTGGGTTGGTTTCTAACTAGCCTTTCCAAAAGATTGATACTGCAGAGTGAATTCAATGAGTCGATTGCTATTATTCCGAAGGAATCGTTTCCGACCATTAAGGGGGGGGGGGGCAAAGGGGGTAATTACCCCTCCCGATAGCCCAAAAAGTCATTGCCTCAAAAATTATAACATTGCCAGAAACTTTGACGATGAGGTTTAATTTTATTTGGCCAAGGTCCTTACCACTCCACTATGTCCATTTCCTCCAATAACACCCTGTATAGATAGATAGATAGATACATTTATTGTCTTGTAGATCATGAAAAATGACATAAGACTCGTCCTAAGAGGGAGGTATATAGTACACATAATTAAAAATAAAAACGAAACAAACATAAGTATTTACAAAGTACAAACAGGGACAACTTAAGGCGTACAGACATTCACATATAAAAAAAGTTTAAAAAAATATATAACAGTGCGAGGTATTCAGACAAAGAGTAGACACATTTTTCAACTAATAATTTTCGTAGTTTACATTTAAAACTAGCAATGCTACTGACATTCCTGAGGTTAGCTGAAAGTTTGTTATATATTCGGATGCAGGTGTATTCTGGTGACTTTTCGAACAGCGTCAGTGTGTGTTTTGGAATACTCAGACTCTCACCTGCCCTTGTATTGTAATGTGTGTTGATGTTTTTGTTCTGTATAAATTTTGTTTTGTTTGTATGTGTGAAAAGGGCGCACTTATAAATATGAATGCTTGGTAGTGTCATGATGTTTTTACTTCTGAAGATATCTCTGCAGGATTCTCTTCTACGAATGTTGAATATCAATCTGATTATTCTCTTCTGTTGAAAAAATGCTCTAGAAATTGAAGTTGCTTGTCCTCAAATTATGATGTTCCTTGATAAATGTGAGTGGACGAGAGCATAATATACATATATACGTACATCTAGTAAAGCTGACTCTGATAAGCAAAACTTGAATCGCATAATATGATTGGTTCAACTTTTTACACACACTGTCCATGGGTTGTTGCCAACTGAGCTTTGCATCCATTTCTATTCCCAAGAATGTCGTAGTTTTCGATGTCTCATGATTTGCTAGAATAGGGGCGTTTGTATAAAAATGTACAACATCTGACTTTTCGAGGTTTAAAATCAAACGATTTGCTTGGCACCACCCTTTCATTTCACCTTTTACTCCATTTATTTTTGCAATAATGTCATTGCGTGTAGTTCCACTTACAAAAACTGACGTATCATCCGCATAATTTGTTACAAATCCAGAGAGATGCAAATAACTTATATATATAGAATGAATACAAGGGGTGCTAAAACTGAGCCTTGCGCTGCTCCAATGTCGATACTGTACGTTGCGGATGTAATTCCGTTAACTTTTGTTTTGAATTTCCTGTCAGACAGGAAAGACACTACCCAATCTAACATAAAACCTCTTAAACCTAAATAAAATAATTTTTCCTCAAGAAGTCCAATGTCAATTGTATCGAAAGCTTTCGATAGGTCAAAAAAGATGCCCGCGATACATGTATTCATATCGAGCTGTTTATATGTCTGACATACAAACTCATAAGTAGCTGTCTCTATTGAATGAAGTTTCCTAAATCCATGCTGCGAGCTTGGGATAAGGTTGAATTTTTCAGCATATCCCAAAATTCTTGAATATATCGCTCTTTCGATTATTTTAGAAAAGATTGACAACAATGCTATGGGGCGGTAATTATAATAAGTATACCAATACTTACATACAGCTCGCTGGAGTTTTTAAAATAATAAAAATAATATTATATATAATTTTTAAAAACAGCACGGGATTTTAAGAAACTTTGTATTTTACAGATAGAAGGTTGCTTTTTGTTGTCAGAAACGTGTAATTTCAGTGTTGGTTGGCGACCGGCAGCCGTAGCCATTCGAATTGTGTACCAGTGCGGCGGGGCGGGACGGAGGACTGAGCAAAGGGGTGCGCTTTTACCCTTAGGCGGTATCAGGTGTTTCGAAGAAGTACATCACATTAATATCCGTGCTGCCACCACGCCGATTATAAGTCTTCCTACGTGATGTCGAATATACTTAATAGTGAAGCTTCTTTCACTAATCCCCACCCCAACAACACCCTACACTCTATTTATTACTAATTTTTTTTCTTAAAATGAACAGCAGTATTTTAAACGTCAAGAATCGAGGTTTCGTTTTTTTTTTGTTTTTTTATGTTCGTAACTCCGGCGCCTCTGGATCTATATTCATAAGTTACACAGCTTTCTCTTTCTTGGGTTAGCAGTAACCTTATGCCAAAATTTCATAGGGTGGTCAAGGATCAACGGATAGATAGACAGACAGACCGGAGGAAGCAGGTGATGGTTTTTGGCGATGTAGGTATCATGTAACACCCAAAAAACGTATTATATCGTTTTCAGTTCACTTTTTCGCAAACTCAAATAAAAAGAAAAATCGGGTTGGAAAACGCATGATAGTTTCGCCTCGTCTAGTACGAACATCTGGCCAGATACAGTTGCACCGGATGGAGAAGGCTTGAGTTCTGAGAAAATTACCTAATCTGCTTAGAAAGATTGTACCGACTGGGCCAATAATAAAGGACGCCGGCTGTTACTTGGCAACCACTCAACCTAGAGCCATCGCGCAAAGACGTTTTAACAAAAATGGCCAGGGAAATTGCTGGAAATTATTTCAGCCTAATGAAATGGCCGCTAGATGGCATCATTCAAATTTCAAACCCACAAACGTCATTATTTTGCAAAGATTTGTATTTAAAATACTGATTAGATAGCCTTTACATGTTGACCATTTAATTTCCAGCCTGATACGTTTGTCATTTTACACATTTTGGTCAGCTTAGGGTGGGGGAAGGGTGAACGTCATTTCAAAAAATGTTACATAATTTCTGGTAACACCAAACTTGGTAATCTTGGTATGGTTTGGAAGAGTATTCAATATCAATACATGGCACACTACATTTTAATAATACATTCTTTAAAACCAAATAGCTGCTATAACATTACAATGGGTGTAACATCTCATAATAATTATGAATTGTTCACACCTTTAATGAATCTAAATATGACAAATAGGTAGAAAACCCGGTATTTCGCATTGCCAACTGACATGAAATACGATTTACAATTGATGAAAGAACGTTTTTCATACATCGCTTATGAAAAAGTGTAAAAATAAATTTTGAAGTTTAGTACCTTAAAATCGTATCATATTGCTAGATTCTATACAACTATTCATACCTTATCTAGTAGCACAAATTGTAATTTAAGCCTATTTCTTAATAAATCTCCATAACAAATAAAGATATTGATCTGCGGTCTTGCAGTACATATAAGAAAATCATATCGTTGTATTTGAAATATTCGAACAAATCAAAAAAAAAAAAACGTCGGCATAACCCCAAAGCGCCGCAAACTGAACTATTCTGACAAGATTGAGTATTCATGATGGGCACAGGTGAATACTGTTGCAGTCAAAGAGAAGTCATGTGCGTTTTCCTAAAATTACATTCAGCTCTTTCCCTACCATAAACTACTGGAAATAAGGCGGTCAACACGATGAGAGTATGTTGATTATGAATTTTGGCAAAATAATGACGTTTGAATTTTTTAAATTGGAATTGCGTCACTTGGCGGCAATTTTAGTAATCAAAACATAATTTAAAGTAATTTTTCTTTCTCACTTTCATCATTAAATTGTTCAACCGATAGCGCCAAGTTGAGCTGTTGCCTGACAGCGACCCAACTATTCCCAGTCTGTAAACTAATATTATGGGTGGACGGCTAGATAAAACAGTAACGTAAAACGGTGTCACACAGAACTATAAGATATTGGACCTATTTTCCATTAAAAAGACGACTGACTGGAGATCATTTGAAGTTAAATTGCTTTTTGTTGCTACGTACCTACTTTCAAACAGATTGGTAGCCGCTAGCTAGAATATTGAAACCGACGTGGAGTATCACGGGTAATGACTTTACTTGAGCGGCTTTCTATCAACAAACCGAGATGGAGATATGAAAACCCGAATCTTCAAGCTAAATTGACGAGCTCAAACACTGAAAAAGGTTTCAGCCTTTCTTCTATACAATTTGTTGTTGTTATGTTGTGTCGTGGCCATATCGTAGAATTGATCATTTGATGAAATGATTGAACATTTTATGAAAAGGTCGCATTGCATGAAATGACCAACTAGATTTGACCATATCGTCAAGTCGTCAACGTTTAACGATTTGGTCATCCATATCATAAAATAGAATCTTTAATGAAAATCCAGAATATGTTACGAACTCGTTTATTGTTCTTTAGATACGACAATTATTTTCATAAAAACTAGTAACTTTAGGCAGTTAAAATAATGATATTAAAACGTCTTAAATTCCACAACGTGTCACAAATAAAACTTTTGAAATTATCAAATATCACAATTTGAGTTATTACCTCGCGTAGTCACACTATTTGGCGTATAACCTAAAAATAAAATAAAAAGTACGCAGAATAATATAGAAGTTTCACAACATAATATTTTAGTTGGCAGATGACTTTGA